GTGGATAAAAATGCCAAATCCAGTCTAAACATCTGGCTGACTGTGTGACCAACCATAATAACAATTGTTAACTGTATTTCCCAAATGGTACTTTTCATATGTGCTGGGTTTCCATGTTCCTGACCTTCAATTTTGTTGTACTTTTGAACCAAATGGCTCCTTAGGAAAGATTTACAAGTTGGGCTTTGTTCCATCAGCACAACATCTATGCAGTGTAAATGATTTACCAGTGATGGAGGGCTGTGTGTTGTATTATGGCAGTGGCTCTGCCTGTAAATGAGCCATAGCTGGTTGTAGCATGGGCATTTAGCCAAACTTAGGGACGGCAGATCTCTAGAAGTGATTTTCAGGAGCTTTGTGACTGTATTGCATTATTCCTGCTAGATGTGATCTGGCACTAGCCTAGATTTATTTCCTCCGTATTTACATATTGTGTAAATTTCTGAGACACAAGAAGGCCATGACATTCATAGATTAACAGGGCCCTTCTGAGTGAGCACCTGGCTAGCCTGTTCTGAAAGCAAATTGTACTGGAGCCTCAGTAAATGTCACCGTGGTCCAAGCGGCCCTTTTCCAGCCTTACTGACAAGGAAGAGGAAGACTCAGTTCACACAACTGCGCCATCATATTAGCATTTTGTGTGAATTGAGATGATTTCATTGACTTAGCAGACCAAGTTTAAACAAACCCTGGTTTAGCATATGCTGGAACCAAGCCATAGAGAAACAGCGTACTGTACTTTAGTGAGGAGCTTTTTCAGCGGGGGAACCCTGAGATACCCGGGATGCATATTCTTAACCAAAGCCCACCATAGCTGAGATGCTACATTGAAACAAAGTGTGTCTGGCTTGTTTTAACTATGGCTTGACTGAGCCACAATAGCTGAGTTCATGCAACACACTACAATGTAGGGTTTAATTTTGATTTAGCACACAGTATGAATCTAGTTGTGGCACGTGAGCTATGGTTTAAGGAAGGGGTGGGCCATCTTTTGCTAACCCTTTAGATGGGCTAGGCACCTTGGGAGACAGAGGTTGCCCACGGCTACGGTTTTCTATGCAGTTCAAAATTTTGCTAGTTTTGTGAACTCAGCCAATCGTAGTTGAGTTCACAAAATCATGGCTTGGTTTAGTTTACTCAAATCACACGATGGCCCAGCTCGATGTTGTAAATGGAGGCTATTCTGTATATCTACAGCTGAGGAGGACAGCTGAGTTTTTCGGCAAGTCCTTTTACAGAAACCCATCCCGGTCTCTCGCGTGGGTCCCCTCGAGTCCTCGCCAAGGGTTACCTCTCAGCCTCCGCCGGCCCGACGGAGCTCAGCATGCAAAGCGGGGCGGAGGCGCAACCAATCGGCACCACGACCTGCGGGGCAGCCGCGCCCCGTCTTCTCCCCGGGTTCCCCGCCCAGCCCAGCCCAGCGCAGGGCGAAGCGCTCCCTTGAAGTGTGGCGTTGCGCTCGCCGCGCAGAATCGCACTTTCGACCGGAGTTGGCTGCTCTCGCGGTCTCGGCGTCGGAGCAGCGCGTGCCGGCTGGCCCTGCCTCGGCGTCTCGCCTGGGTCAAGTGCCGGAGGAAGCGCGATGCGGGAGCCCGGACAGACGAAGCGGTAGCAGCGCGGCGATCTCGCTGGGAAACGGCTTGCTGCTCGACGGCGTCTAATGCTCTCCTTAGTTTATTTGTCTGGAAAAGCGAGAGTCCACTCTAGGGTCGGATTGAAGGTTGCCGAGGCAGAAGGAAAGGAGCGAGAAAAGAAGAGGCGAGCAATGGAGAGAGGGGTGTCTTTGTGCCGTTTGCTTCTTTGGCACTAGCGTACAAAAAGGAGAAGGTGGAAGGGAGGAACCCCCGGCGTTTCGAGACTCCAGGCGCTGAGAAGACCTGGGCGCGCGTGGCAGCGGCGAGCGGGCAAGGGGAAATTTGACGCGTTGCAAATCTTAACCGGATTTGGATTTGTGATTTGTTTTCTTGCCCGCGTTTTGTTTTTTGTTTTTTTTTTGCTCCCGGAATTTGCTGCAAGTTGAGAAGCTTGCAATCTGGATTTCATGGAGCGGGGATTCTTGATACTTGTTGGACTTACATTTCTCTCGAGCGCAGGTAAAATGCAATGATTGATAAATAAATAAATGATTGATTGTGTAGGGAAAGAAGAGATGCCTCTTTCGCCTGCTGATTTCTTTTCAGGACAACGGCTTTCCGTTAGCCGCGCTGAAGAAAGGTTGGGCTTTCAGTGCGGGCCTGGGCGAGTTGGCTCGGAAGCGTGTTGCTCGCGGTTACTGCCTGCAAAGTGGGCATCGGAGTGCAATCGTGCAGGGCAATTCCAGACGTGAATTGCTTTGTACCTAAAGTCGTTTCGGCCTCGGGGAAATCGAGGCGTCCCGAATAAATCCAGACAACCACACGCTTCTTCTCAACAACAATTATATAATTGTTACAATTATTGTTTCTGAAGCATATGAAAATGGCAAAATGCTGCACCGGACAGACAGCTTCTAACTTCCGAAATCACATTTTTAAAGCCTTCGATTAAGGTTTTGAAAACTTTTTAGTAGCCACCATTGTTAAGGTTATCTTTCATCCTCAGATATTAATGCTTGTCCAAACGAAATATGCAGAAATCTTTTTGTTTTGTTCTTCACATCAAAGAAAAAAGAAGATACTTGTTTCTACCAAGGGAAAGAGAGAGATCCCTTCTTTCCAAGGTGTTATGTTGCTGGTATTGTATGATGATGGCAACATTGTGTGTGTTCAGTTCTGAACAAAAGAGAATCCAGTTTCTTTTGCTAGGGGCTGTGATGGGGGAGAGGCAGACTGTGAAATTGGAACTGAAAATCCCAGAATAACTACTAGCCAGCAGGCAGAGGTGGTAAAAGCAGACTCTCTGTCTTGGGTGGAATTTGGAGCTGAGGGCCCTGGCATACTTTGCAAGGGTGTTGTGACGGTATCTGTCCAAAGTTCTTTGAAGACGGGAAAACATGATACTAAACACTTTCCAGCTGGCTCTGCTTGAATGAAACCATTGCTCCCAGGGTTCTACGCTTGGGCTCTGAAGAGGAGAGCATGCTGAATTGCTTCTGGAAGACTCCAGGCTGCTCTTTGAAACAGGGTTGTGCTTTTCTTGTGGAACCAGGCTGGATTTGATCTCTGTTGAAACCCAGCCTTTTAAAGGATCCTTAAAAAGCCAGGCATTGCAATTTTCAGGGCATTTTCTGAGCAGTTACCTCCTTGTGCTTCATTTCTATATTTGAAGCAGCCTTATGGGAATCTGCAGATGCGATGCCTCTTCAAATTACAGTCCGTGTGTCTGACAGTAACAAACACATTTCGGGCCATTCTTCCCCATGTGTGCAAACCATCATAAGCTAGTTTTTCCCCCCCTTATTGATCTGTATCTTGTTATACATGCTGACAGTTTGGGGGAAAAATAAGCTTTTTTAAATTTGTCCAAATAGTACTATTTGGTTAGCCATGCTGTGACTTTTTTTTTTTTTTTGCTGCATTATTATTTAACTTTGTGTTTTGCATTTCTCTTTCTTGATCTCTTCCCCAGCTTTCATTCATTACTGTCGCCAATAAAGAATCTGGGGGTGGGGGGCATCTGAATGGTTCCTGTTTAAATGTTGCCTGATGATTTGTCACAGTTATAATTCTAGAAGCTGAACAAAGAAATCCAGGCATGATACCGATTACTTTCAAGTTGTGGTACTAGGGGTTTTGTTTGACTCGATTGCTTTGATAAGAATAGCACTTTTCTAATTTGGCCTCTTTTTCCCAACCCCCATTCCCACCCCCCCACCCCCACAATTTGCAGGTTTCTCGCTATCCACCTCTCAAAGTGGGCTGAGGTTTCTGGGTCTCTCAGAGAGAGTCAGCAAGGAAACTAGCACAGGACCCGGAAGGCTGGATTCAGCTACCAGCTCCAGACCGGACAACGTGGCTGGCCTTGAGGAGGTCCACCACAGAGTCAAACGCTGTACTTGCTACACGTACAGAGATAAAGAGTGTGTCTACTACTGCCACCTGGATATCATCTGGATCAACACCCCAGAGTGAGTGGGGACATACAGCCTCTATAGGAGGTTGGGGGAAAGGGATAGGTTGGCATGTGCAGGGGAAAAGGATTTGGGGTGCTCCGTTTTCCCCAAAGATAGAAGTTAACCCCATTGCACTTTGGCATGTGAAGGTCTTTACCTCTAAGAGGGTAAAACCACTTATGTGGATTTCTGTTTCCAGAGCAAATATACTCCCAAATTCCAGATGCTGGAAGACAAATATTTTTTGGAGAGGTAGAACTGGTTAAGTTTGTATACAAAAGGCTGGGCAAAATGGATGCTTATTGTTATTTATTAGATTTATACCCCACCTTTCCTAGAGGAGCTCAAGGAGGTGTACATAGCACTGCTTCCTTCATTTTTTCCTGCAACAGCAACCCTGTATAGCAGTTATGAGAGATAGCATCTGGCCCAAAGACACCCAGGGAATTTGGTGATCAGATGGGTCTTCCTGATCCTAGTCCAACATCTTAACTATTATGCTGTCTTTGATCTCAATCAGCATGTGCTCCTTCCCCTGAAAAAGTTTCTGAACAAGGTAGAAATTCCAGCTATTTTGTAAACATTTCTTTGGCCATCAGATTTCTCAGGGGAACAAACAATAAATCACAACTGGAACATTAGCACAATAATTGTTAATCTTCAAATAATACTGGTAGGCTGTGAACACTATATTAGTATGATATATATAGCAATAACCTAGCAGTGTGAACACATTTTTTCCAGTACAACGGATGCTTTGCAGCTGGGGAAAATTTCCGCACACAGAGCAATCACTCTGGTGCTATTTCAAATATAATTACTGTGATGCAAATGTGGCTGATTTTGAAATGAAAGACTTTCTACTATTTCTGATGCTGTGAAGACTGCCATGAAGTCTATGCACTCAACTGTTTTATTCTGCAATTTGAAATTGTGTGGTGGGGGAGGGGAACCCAGACAGTTTCATCCACATTTAATCCTCCTACATTTTCTCGCTACTTCTTCAAATTTTTTTTCTTAATACCAAAAACAATAGTAATACCCACACACAGAGAAGGAAAGGTAGAATAGCTGAATAAAATCCTTGGATTAGTAGCTTCAGGAGCTGTCCATCTGAAGCAGCCCAAACCTTCGATGTTTCTGGACTTACTGTTTTCCTGCAATCCAAGGGAAAATGATATTTTGGAGCACTGTCTGCAGAGTTTATATGAAATGGAGTGACATTGGAATTTAAGAATGAATGCCTGCCTATGCTGCCTTGAACATTTTTTTTAGGCTGGCATTCTTTTTATCAAAACTTTGTAGGACATTAATGAGGCCACCTTGGACAGAGGTTCAGCTCAGTCTCCGGCCTACTTTTTAAAAATTCCCACATTTAATTTAATTTAATCAACGTATATGGCCGCCCAACTTGTAAATTGCAACCTTGGGCAGTTAACAGAGGATAAAATCAGTACAAAAACAATATGCAAACCAAAAAACAAAACAAAACCAAGCCCAGTCCATCATTATTCCATATTAAATCATTTCAGATGGGCTCATCTACCATCCTGGCCCAGTGCCAATGGGAAAATCTAGGTCTTCAAGGCCTGCAGAAGGCCAACAGGATCAGGACCATCCTAATCTTGGTGGATAAGCTGTTCAATAGAGAAGGCACCATGACAGAGAAGGCATACTTCTTAAGTCCCACCAGATCACACTGGTTTATGGAGGAGATGTGAAGCAAACCTACTTTGTTGGATCTCATGGAATGGGCAGATTAAGTTGGAGATAGGTAGTCCTGCAAGTAACCTGATCCTCTGTCTTGCGTAGCTTTATAGGTGTTAACTAGCACCTTGAAATGCACCTGGAAATCTCTTAGGAGGTAGTACAGCTCACAGATCAATGGTGCTACATGGTGTACTGTGGTGCACCCATAACTAACTGCACTGCTGCATTCTGGACCAACTGCAGCTTCTGGATAGTCTTCAAGGGCAGCCCCATGTCTGGTGCATTGCAAGTGACCAACCAGTGTTACACACGCTGCTCCCAGGTTCGACTTATGGTCACTCACTCACACACTCAAAGCCTGTTGAGGCACGCGGAGCTTGTCAGTCCCCCTTCCTCTCTACCTGCGTGTC